TGAGCAAGGGAAGCATGGTTCACTCAGCCTGGGCGAAAACTGAAAGGTATCCAATGGGAGATGTAATGGTTGACTAGAGCACAAGCTTCTAGTGTTGCAGGTGGTTCATTAGCTTAAGGAGACAATGATGGATCAACGTCAAGGTGATATATATTAAAAGATAAAGCAAACCAACAGACCAGCAAGTGCCAACCAGCAGCATAGGAGCCTGGCAGCCCAGGGCAGTGACCAGTAGCTGGAGCGGGGGGAGGCATTCCAGGTGCGGTACCCAGTTAGATCTGGGGCCACTCTTGGAATGGAAAGAAGTTCTGGACACCATCCGCCCTGACAGCGTAAAACAACTCGGGCTGGAGAACACAGGTTTGAAACCAGAAAACATAGGTTTGGGAAGCATTTGCAATGGGCTGGGAGTGGGAGGAAGACGATGACATGCATTCCACAGTCAAGAGGCAGTGAGTGGCCTTTATGGATGATGGGCAAACGGATCTGTCCCCAGAGTAGAAGAGACAAAGTAATGGTGTTAAATTACAGAGTTTACAACTGAATGTTAGAAACAAGTTCCTTACAATTGAAGTGGTTCAACAGTGGATGGTTACGTAATAGTATGGAACCCATTTCAGCTGATGCACTCAAGCAGAAACTAGGCACAGTCGAAATCTGTTGGGGATTGTTTAACTGAATTCTTGCATTGAACAAGGAATTGGGCTCAGTGACCTAAGTGGCTTATTCTAGCAATATGTCCCTATGGCATGTCACTGATAACACCATTTCCTTCCACTTCTACAATCCTTCAAGCTAACAGGAGGTTATTTATACTTGAATGGCCATGTGTTCATTATGTTGCATTATTTGCTTCACTTGATTATACAAAGATGTTTTAGACCTCAGAAAACAATACATTTTTTTTTTCTGGTGCTACATGTATGAGTATGTTGCAACCCTGTTTTGACTGTTTAGAAAGAGGTGGTAGATGACATCTGACCTTTAGTTATTTATGGAGAACTTTCACCTTATCATCTACTTACAAGGCAAATTCTGTAATACGCATTGCTATTATCAAATTATGGGACATCATGCTAGTTTCTTCCATGCTTTGAAGAACATGGGACAATCCTGGATAGTGAAGATGTGGATCTCTGTGTAATGAAATTATCTGAATAATTCTGGCTCCTTTAGCTTCAGTGCAACTGTTGGATTTGAATGCTGTGGTGGTGGTGCTTTGATAGAAATCCACAAATTATCCCAGACTGATTCAAATTTTCAGTTTAGCTCAGAAGCTTGATTTTGTTCCAATCATCAGTTTGATTCACTAAAAAGGGTGCTTTTACATGTGCAAAAATTTGCAAATTAGCAAATCTATTCTAATAACAGATTCTAATAATTTTGATTTGGAGAGGGAATTTGATTGAACCATTTTCAAATCATATACCTGAACTGAAGCTTTGTGCTACCCTATTTCTTTTTATAATGCTGAAGATTAAGCTAAAACAAGATTAAGTAAAACAAGGCATATGTGTACCCAGGAATTAATGTGCTTGTCTTGTCTTGTCTTCCTTCCTTCCTTCCTTCCTGCCTTCCTTCCTTCCTTCCTGCCTTCCTTCCTTCCTTCCTGCCTTCCTTCCTTCCTTCCTGCCTTCCTTCCTTCCTTCCTGCCTTCCTTCCTTCCTTCCTGCCTTCCTTCCTTCCTTCCTGCCTTCCTTCCTTCCTTCCTGCCTTCCTTCCTTCCTTCCTGCCTTCCTTCCTTCCTTCCTGCCTTCCTTCCTTCCTTCCTGCCTTCCTTCCTTCCTTCCTGCCTTCCTTCCTTCCTTCCTGCCTTCCTTCCTTCCTTCCTGCCTTCCTTCCTTCCTTCCTGCCTTCCTTCCTTCCTTCCTGCCTTCCTTCCTTCCTTCCTGCCTTCCTTCCTTCCTTCCTGCCTTCCTTCCTTCCTTCCTGCCTTCCTTCCTTCCTTCCTGCCTTCCTTCCTTCCTTCCTGCCTTCCTTCCTTCCTTCCTTCCCCTCCCCTCCCCTCCCCTTTTTTCCTTTCCTTTCCTTTCCTTTCCTTTCCTTTCCTTTCCTTTCCTTTCCTTTTTAGGGTTTACCGGGAAAATCTGGTCAAGATGGTTTACCTGGTCTTCCTGGCTCAAAGGTAAGTAAGCTTAGTGGCAAATCTATGCTGATCTTATTCCTGGAAAGATTTAAGTTAACCATTCCATGGCCTGATTATTCCAAACAGTCATTAAGATCCTTGCTTTTTACTCAGTACTAAGATGTATGATGAATTTCTGGCTAAACTCAGTGGCTAATAGTTGAAACATTGTGGTTTATTGGTTCCAAAGTAAGCATATTGGAAAAGGAACCAAAAAAAAAAAAAAATCCATGAAGCCATAATAGCTGTTTCAAATATCTGGAAGGTACTATGCAGGACATAAAAGATAGAGGCATTCCAGGAACCCTTGTGTAAATTGATTGTTTGCGCAGATTGGATTAGGTACCGTTTCCTTGCACAAACACAGTAGCCTCCATGTTTGCATGTGTAAAGCACATCAGCCACCATTTCTGCCCTCCTTTCAATACTTGAATTTACATAAATCAAAATTTATGTTTCTTTTACTTAAGAAGGAAGAACTAGAAGTGATAAATGAAAATTGTGAGAAAGCAGTTGTCAGTAAAACGTTCAACAAAATAGGCTTTTTTCTGTTCTTTGGGGAACTCCAAGTGTTCTTTGAAACGTCTAATTCTGTCCTTATTCAACAATTGTATTTCATGTCTTTGTCTTTTTGGCTAACTTTCTTCTGTGTTTTTTTACAGGGAGAACAAGGAGAAAGGGGAGAAGATGGTAAAATTGGCTCCAAGGTAAAAAAAGAAAATTCATTTCTTATTTATTTATTTATTTATCATATTTATATAACTGCCCATCTCGCACAGCAGAGCGACTCTGGGCGATGTACAACATTACATATTAACAGTTACATTACTACAAGATATGGGAAATATTGTAGGCTTATCCATGTAATTGCTAAGAATTTAACCTGACTTAATGACATAATCAGTCAAAATGGAAAATGTTACATGGCAAAGGTTATTCTCAACTAGCTGTACCTGGTGTTTACCCAACGTCAAAAATGTTGCAGATATGGTATGTGGAACTTCTTGCCACCATGTGTAATAAAATTCCCAAACAGAATTAAACAACCCTTCATTCATTACCATGAAAAGTAACTTCCCATACTCTGATTCTATAGTCAAGAATAAGATGGACATCATTATGAAAACCTTTATAGATGAAAAGATTGAAAGTGCTTACTGAGGGAATTATTAACCAAAAGAAATACAGAATTACTTTTTGAATTGCAGGCACATGGCTTAATTAAATTCTGATCTATGCTTTAGGACAGAATATGTGGATAACATCAATTCATATTGCAATGTGGAAAAATCCAGTTCCTCTGATATGGCACCCTCTTTTCTTCAGTTTGTCCTCCTATCTTCTTTCATCCTTCATTACTCAGAAAGCAGAAAGGAAAGTAAGAGAGGGTTGTTAGGTAAATCTCCATATAGCTCTTACATAGCTTTAAATTAATTTCTAATTAACAATTTTAGGTGTATAGAGGTATAGCAGCATCAATTGAAAGCAGGAATAATTTCAACAAATCATTCTGGGCAACCGAAGCAAAAGAAAGAGAAATGCATTCCAAAATGTACAGTGATCAATTGTTTGAAGGCAAATTTACAATGAGAAAAAATTATGCTACACTGCAGTTTATATTGGCAAGATAATTCCTTCTCATTATCTCACTGTTTCTACAGTTCAGTCATGGTTCATATCCTGAAGAAAGGAGGTTTTCTTGAAATGTCTGGCAGGGTTTAGAGTGCTTCATCATAATTAGAATGAAGAAATGGTTTATAAAGGTCACAGATTAGCATAAAATAATTTGATGCTTATGTAAACTTTTTAGATCCCACATATTTAACAGCAGAAATGAAATTTTGTAAGAAATGCTTGCAAAATTGTATGGAAATTTGCAAAACTTCTGCTTAAAAAAATAAAGTAGAAAGTGAACTGAAGAATGGTCAATAGCACACACACACTCTGTGTAGATTGAGTGAGTGAGTGAGTGAGTGGAGGAAGTTATCTTGTATATACATTCACATAAGCCTAAATTTTAAAATGCAAATAGTTTTTTTTTTTTAAGCAACACCATGGAAATGTTTGCCATTGTTTCTTCCCAGTCTAGCCTATAGCCCTGTTATTTCTTTGTAGACTCTTTTCCAAGTATTAACTAGGTTTGATCCTGCTTAGCCTTGTGAGTTCAGCTAGCTGCTGTCACGTAACTAGGTATTGGGTTAAACCAAGATAAAGACATGGGCAAGGTCAGAATGACAAATAAACATTACATCTTTTCATTTAAATAACTATCAATTACATTCAATGAAATATGATTAATATGATTCATCCCTGTGTGTTTAATAAATAGGTATATGGCATCCTTCATGAATCTCTGTTAGAAAAGAGATTCAAATATCTACAATAGGATCTTCCTTCACCCGACCCAAAAAAGAAATAAGAGAGAAAATGGCTTGTTTTAAGTTCTGAGTAAACTTACTATTTTGCTATTTTTCAGGGTGAATCAGGCCCCCCTGGCCCCCCTGGCATAGTGGGTGAGAGGGTGAGTATTGTCTATGGCAAAATAGTCTAAGTCTGTAAGGCTAATTTTTATTATTTCTCTCTTTGTTAGATTTATAACCCACTTTTCTTCTGAGAGCTCAAGGCATTCATTTCATATCCACAACAACTCCTCTATGGAATAGGATGGATTGAGAGTGAGTGACTGGCTCAAGGTTACCCAGGGGATTTTTATGGGGCAAGGTGAACTTGACCTGATTCTTTCTCATCTCAGTCCACCACTATAACCACTACTCCTCACTATGCCATTGTTTCTAGGTGGTCATTTCGTTGAAGCAAGAATCCTTCCTACAACATTCACCAGTCAACAGTGCATAATCTTTAGCAACATTGGCAGCAATCTTAATGGGAAAGATTAAGAGGATACATACATAGGGACTCAATAATAAAATAATTATTATGTGACCCATGTTGGATGCTAAAAATGAAAGCTTGGCAGAAGTGGTCTAGTAGGAGGTGCAAATCATTCCAGAACCACTTTGATTTGAGCTGTATATAGGATGCGTGAGCATGCACCCAAGTCCACCGAATCACTGAATCAATTCAGTGGCACCCAATTTGATCTGCTGCATCAAATCCATTCAATAATTCCCTCGAACAGTTCCTTTCGGGGGGGGTGGGGGCTATCAAACTGAAATTTCAAATCAAAGTTCCCTGCAGTTGAATTGTCTACAACTCTAACTGTATTATATTCTGTTTTGTCTTGCTTTAGGGTGAAGCTGGTCTTCCAGGCCCACCTGGTTTGCCAGGTCCAAGAGGAGAAAAAGGAAATCAGGTATGCAGTTCAGGATGTTTACCCACTTTGATTTGATTCGTAAAGGAATGGAGACTTCTACTTGAAGAACAGTTGGTATGTGCCAACCCTCTGGACTTTCCCACAAAGAAGTATGCAGTGGTCTGTCTCTTGTTAACCTCTGTTTTACTGTAATTTACTGCTTTTGAAATGTTATTTCTTTACCCCTATGGTTTCAGAGTGACAACATATGGCATGAGGTGCTGGTTTAAGGTGGTGGTTGTCATCTTCAAACCTTCCATGGCTCAGACTCTAGGGATCTAAAGGACTTTTATTGGACATTTCTGCCCACCCAGCTTGATTAGGAAGACTGATCAAGTTCTTGTTCCATTTCTTAAAGAATATCATCTATAGCAGGGTTCCTCAACCTCAGCAACTTTAAGTTGGGTGGATTTCAATTCCATGCTGGCTGGGAAATTCTGGGAGTTGAAGTCCACCCATCTTAAAGTTGCTGAGGTTGAGGAACCCTGATCTATAGCACCTTTTTGATTGCTGCACTCCGTCTATGGAACAGTATTCTCCCAGAGATTTTACATGCCCCAACATAATTGGAATTTTGGAAGGCAGTGAAAATCTTATTAATCCAGCTTGCCTTTGAGGGGGAGATAATTTGAGAAGGATTCCTCCTCTGTAGGAATATACAATTATGTGGATTTTATGACTCCTTAGCATAGGAATATTTTATTTTTATATATATGTATATTGTTTGGTAATTTTTTTTCCTGTTTTAGCTTGGTTTTTGTGTAGTAGGATTGTAAGTTGCTCACAGTTGATTGATGATTGGGGTGGCATAGAAGCCAATGAAATAAATAAATGAGGGTATCCATAGATGCAGTAATTAAAAAAAAATTAATTGCAAAAGCGTATTGGGGAATAACTAATTATGGGGCAGAGGTTTCTTATTTTGCTTTTCATTACTGCCTGGGAATAATTATCTTTTGTCTTGGGGCAATGATATTATTCTAGGGCCTTGTCAGAGTCCATCTTGATATCTTGAGAAGGTCTGAGAATCACAGACCTTCTGAGCACCACAGCACCATTGACCTCAGGAATGGGAAATGGAAGCCAATGTACAGTATAAGCTTCAAACCCCTTTCTTGCAGACTGTATTGTGGTGCCCAATTTTAAAGGGCAAACCACAGAACAACTGAGGCATGCAAGACTTCTTCAAACATAATCCTCCAAAGTCAACTACAGACCCCATCCAAACCTCAGACAAAGTCCAGAAATTCCAACCCTGATAACTTCTAAGGCATCACCATCTGACATTTGTGGCCCTTAGTTGCTGCCTGAAGTAATATAAAAAACATGGTTCATAAGGGTGCAAAGTTTTCCTTTCCTGATTAATCAGCTTTCTTTCCCCTTTCAAAGTCCAGGAATTCCAACTCAGCAAAATCATTGTCTCTTTCCAACAAGAAAAGAAGTCATGCTTTTTAATGAGACTTCTGTTTTAGAAGTCTGTACAGCTTCTCTCTATTTAGCCTCAGTCCTTTTTCTCCTCAAAAGGACTCCTACTGAAAACAGAAATTGCAGCAGAAAATATTTTGGATCTATTTTTGCCACCAGGTTCATCAAATTCAGATAACTCTTGGGTTATTTGTGTTTGCAGGGTGAAAAAGGAAGAGCTGGGCTCTCTGGCTTCAAAGGTGAGAGAGGAGACAAGGTAAGTTTCCCAGATAATTGAAGTAATTCCATGTTTTATATGCACACTTACAAATTCATTTGTTTTGTAGGGGACACCTTTGTTTATAGAATAGCCCACCTTTCACGCAGTGCTAACCTTAGGATGACAGACTACTTACACTTATGGGATTGTTAGCTCCACTGAACACAGTGGGTAGACATTGTGATAGACATTCCCAAATTTCTGCTGTTAGAATATTTGATGATTGGATATTAGAACTGTCAATCAAAGCAAGATAAGGTGGGGTACCTCCTCCCAGTTTAAATTTCAGATGGGCGGAGACTGAGCAGAGAGAGATTGGGTAGCATGTGTGAAAGGGTGGGTATAAGGGAAGCTCAGAGTCTGAATCCTAAAAAATCTCTATAGTGTCTATATAATATATAATTCTGGGGGGCTGAAGCCTGTAGGTACATTATAATATTAAGGGAATATGTTTACAACCCGTTCTGCCTTATTTAATAAAACGTCATTCAACTTCCAGCTTAAATATTAACAAACTGATGGGCATCTGTATCTTTCCCATGTTCCATCTGGATGGATTATCTCAGGCACTTAGTGTATAAAGAAACAGAGGGGAAGAAGAAAAGCAGAAGAATGTCCAAGTCAGGAAAAAAAGTTTTGGTGGTGGTAGCATCTTAATTTTTCGGTTACATCTTCATTGTGAAGAAAGAAGGAAAAATCAGAAACAAGGAGGCTATGTAACACAGCATGGAAGGAGTCAATCAAGGGAAGCATCCAGCTGAGCCAAGTGTATTGCCCTCTGGAGATCATACATCCTTGAAGTAGAAATAGTAATAACAATTGGGATGGGAGAAACTGAAGAGAGTTTGAATGGTATGGACAAGGGAGCCAAAGCTCTTTTCCTTCTAATAATAATAATAATAATAATAATAATAATAATAATAATAATAATAATAATAAAAGAACT